ATATATATATATATATATATATATATATATATATTATAAATTTTCGATATAGATAATATATAATTAATCAAGATCGGTAATGTTAAGATCCCAAGTTTTGTTTTGGAAATTTTTGTTTTCATATATAGGAACATAAGTGTTATGTTGTGTAATAGATAGAACTTTAGTTTCGGGGTTTTGTATTTTTTTTTTTAAATTTGACTTGAAAGAAAGTTTGTGTTCTTTTCATCTTGTTTTTTTTTTGGTAATATTAACGTTCATGACTTGCCACATCACATACCAATATAATATGAAAATGCAAGTGGTATTTTTTTTATTTATTATGAATTGTCAATGCACATATATATATTTCCATGACCGTTTTTGCATGAATTTTAAAATAAAATTCGGAGTACCCTGCATGTTTTTCGGTACGTGAACTATTACGTATCTTTCGAGTGTAAATAGAAGCGTAAAATGAGTCCAACTCATAGGTTGGTTTGCCAACCGTTCCATATTTGTATGAATCGTTCCATATTTTATTAGATATTTAATTTGTTTTGTTTAAAATTTTAATTTTTTTTTATTATATTTTAAATATTTTTTAAAATCATATATTTGGTTTGTGGGTGACTCGTTTTAATTCGTAGATTAAGGCGATCTGGATTGGATTAGATTTTTTTTGTTCGTTAAAAAATAGATTGGACTGTACCAAAATAAATTGAAACGAGTAGGATTGGAATGGGTCGTGTCCGCACCCCTAAATGGAAGCCTGCATGCATCTTTGCGCTGTTTTATTTTCAGTTGTCGTATTATCCGTTGTATTTTCATTGGAACCCTTTTATGTCCGATTATCAATATCATCCGGATCTAAGTGGCCTTGTTTGGTTACAGGTTCTGAGTTATCCTTGCTTGATTTTACCCCATAGAAGGATATACAGTCCAACTATCGCTACGAGAGAGCACATAAAACTTTTTTCAATCAAAATAACACACGCACGATAAAAATGAAAATTTTCGATTTAAAATATTCGATTCCAGTAAACCTTCAATTTCGGCTGACTCGAGTCGAATTTATCGTAACAACAATAATAATAATAATAAATGAATATGGATTGTATTTCTATATAATTGTTTTTGGGTTTGTATTTTAAAAAACAATCGTATTACAGACCATTTAATACGAGTGACTGTTGAGAATATTCATTCAATGATGTATCTATTTCGTTTTTTTCGGTTTTAAACTAAACCGAACCAGCGGAACGGTCCCATTTACGCTAAACCGATTTGGTTGGATTTGAACCGGACCGAAAAATAAATCAATTTGCCCTTTTCTTTCACTAAATTAGAAAAAAATATAGGAAAAAACCTAAACAACGCCGAAAGAAATAAGAGTCGCACTGTTACCTTACATTTACAACAACGTTACACGATCCGCGGCGGCTCTTTTCTTCCCTTTCGCCGTCTCCGCCGCCGCACTTCTCCACCGCCCTTTGCAGAGCTCGTTCTCTGGTTGAAGATTCTACTCTCTCGTCTTCAATCTGTCTTCTTGTTGTTATTCTTCTTCGTTTTCCTTCGTCGTCGTTCGGAGGTCCTTGGATTCTTTGGTTTTTGATCGAATAGGCGTTTCGAGGACTGTTTCAATGGCGAGTAGGAAGCTGGTCCGGGATTTTCTCATAGCGAAGCATCCGATTTTCGTCCAAATGACGCATCAACGGGTTCGTTGTATTATCGTATTGGTGAATTGCTCTAGCAGGTTTGTGATTAGGACATGTAATGATGCTGATTCCTTTGTTAATTCGTATGTGATTAGAGAGTAAACGCGAGGTTAGGGTTGCTGCCTGCTCATGGGTCCCTGAATCCTCGCCCGTTCAGTGTGTTCGGCGAGTTCTCGAAGAAAATCAAAGGGGAGGCAGAGAGGTATTATGTGTCTCTTTTACGCCGAATTATAATGGGAAGCTTTCCATATGCGTGTGCGTGTTTGTCGGCCTGCGCCTGAAATTTATGTATTTGCTCGATGATACATACCTATACAGTGTTTTGATAAGTTGAGGATGAGAGAGGAACTCATAAAATATTGGTTCTCATATATTTTTTATCGTGATAGTGTTTAGTTTGGTTCTGTTATGATAGGATGGGGTTTGAACTAATGTGTTCATTGTTGCTGTTGTTGCAGCAATCCTGAATTTCAACGAACGGTGAAGGAGCTGAAGGAGAGAGCCGAAGAGCTGAAAGGTGTAAAAGAGGGCTTGAAAGAAAGGTACTTTTCTTATGTAATTGTTATTTGTTTAGCCTTTCTAGGTATTAGGGTAAGACATACCGTATATTGCCAAGGGAGGCTCTGAGAAATGGGTAAAAATGGCAAATGCAGGACGAAGCAGACAACTGAGCAGCTGCATAAGCAAGCTGAAGGTGTGTGGTCGGAGGCCGAAGCCGTGGTGAAAAAGGTACGGTTGAAAAGAGTGCCCTTTTTTTATTGGCACTATATTTTCCTGAACTGGTTTTGTTTGTTCTGTCGTCGGTATATTCCGAAACTTTCTTCCAAAAGTTTAGAAAGCAGTATTGATCCATAAATGCAACCATTTGCTGGTTGGAATTGTATCTTACCTTTTCTAGTTTGCAATTTTGATGATCTTTTATGGTATTAATTTGCTGTCTTGGTTTGTCAACATTTTTGTTTTCTGAAGCTATCTTCTGTATGCATTGTCTTTTGTTTTTTTGCTAGCTGATACTTTAGTGATGGATATATGTGATACTGAGTTGTATTCGTTTTTTCCTATGATTTTTCAGTCAACTTTCGATTCTTGACATTGTGATGGCTACAGAATCTTCGTTTAAACATGTTTTGGCATATATTTTGCAGGTTTCTTCTGATGTTAAAGACAAGATCTCAGCAGCCACAGAAGAGGTCTTGTTATTCGTTTGTTTTTCTTTCCTTCGAAAGAGCAGCCATGTCTTTTCTATGGTTCTACCTCACCTTATTTATTTATTTTCTTTGTTTTAGGTCAAGGAAACATTGAAGTTTGGAAAGCAGGAGAGTGCTGGATCCACAGAGTCTACAAGCACAGCTGGTACTGGCACAAAAGATGCAGGCACTGGTACCTTCGAAGAAGAGAAACAACACCAGCAATCAGGTCCTACCGATTCACAGGAGACATTATTTGGAAAGTTTAAGTCAACTATTTCTTCACCAAAGGTTTCTGGGGCATTTTCCAAGCTGAAGGAAGCAAAAGTTGCTGACTTGGCAAAGAAGGGCTATGACATTGTGAAGGATGAGTTGCGTGGTGCTCCATCTAAGAAAAAGCACCTAGAATGTACTCCTACCCCACAATTTACTGGCGAGAGAAGTACGAGAACAGAAATGGTGGTTGTACCAACAAAACAGCCTATATGGCGAAAGAAATGGGAAGCCTTCAGAGAGAAGGTAAATGTTCCTCTTGTCTTGTCCAATTGCAACATATTTTCAGGCTCTTATCTAGAAATTGTCTCCACTTTTTTTTAGATGCAAGGTCATCCTGTATTTAAACGTCTAAGTGGGATCAGTGAACCTGTTGTCAACAAGAGCCAAGAGGTAATGGTCTTTTCTTTCTTTACACGGCTTTCGTTCAACTGTTTCTTTCGAATTTTGTTTTTGCAGTTTCTAAAACGTCTACCCGTGCAGCCAAGATATTTTACTTGTACCTCAGCCCGCTTTTCCAATTTATAGATTTTGTTATTTTTGTGCTCTCCCTTCGTGTGACATAGCTGCATAACTCCTACGAGACTAATATTCTATCTTTAACTGTTCCAAGCCAATTGTGTTTAGTATGCACACCCAGCGGCTTTATCTGACATTATTCATGGATTGGAATGTGTAGATTGCGGAGGACGTGAGGGAAAGATGGGAAACTAGTGATAGCCCAATTGTTCATAAGATTCAGGAGTATGTAATCTGTTACCTTATCCCTTTCAGAAATAACTTTGCAGATACTGATATGTATACCTTCTTTTGGTCAGCATCAATGATACAATCTTTCAAGAAACAGATTCCGCTGCTTCTTATAAAGAAATACGCCGCCGAGATCCGTAAGCTATATATAGTTCATGAATGTTGGTCGTCATCCACCTGGTCTGAAGATGTTTCTGCTAATTAAATTCTCTGCTTTAATGGTTAGATCTTTCTCCTTACCGGACTTTGTAGCAGAAGTTCAGGAAGCTATCAGACCGGTCCTTAATGCGTATATGAAGGTGAATTCTGAGCTTTGCGATGAACCTTGTTTTGGCATTGTCATCATTCTGAAAACTGGCATGCTTGATTCGTTCCTTTTTTCTAACGAAGTTTTTTTCTTTCGACAGGCAGACGTTGAGACCCTGAAGAACTACTGTAGCCCTGAAGTCATTGAACGGTGTAAAGCAGAGCATGATGCTTACAAAAGTCATGGTATATTTTATGACAACAAGGTAAGCAAATTTTCCCAGTTCTTCCTATTTTTCTCTCTTGCACATCTTAAAGGAATATTGAAACTAGTTTCTAAATAGAAGTGGGGGCTTAGAAGGGTTGTTTTATCAAATTTTTTCTTATGAATATGGTACTTGAGGATTTTATTGTCTTTAAACCTGTCACGAGACTTGTTCAATCTACCAGCTCCTGACAATCCCACATGTGGTTCCATGAAACTATTTGTGCTAAAACCAAAACCAAACTCGAAATCCGATGTTGTGTGGGTTCTTTTGTGTGAGGTTTTGTTCGAGTAACTGCATTTTCTTGTCATATTCAGCTTCTGCACATATCTGAAGTTGAGGTACGAGAGACAAAGATGATGGGAACTTCCCCTATAATCATCGTGGCGGTAATAATGCCATTTTCTTCCTCTTCCTTCACCCCTAAATCTTCCTGTTCGGTCCCTGGAACACAATTCACTCACATTCCCACATGTAATGATTTCAGTTCCAAACGCAACAAATCTACTGCGTTCGTGACAGAAACGGGGCAATCACCGAAGGAGGCAAGGTAAGGCAGTTCAAACTAAGATCTAATCCCGAAAACCCGTTACATTTACGCCGTGTTACACTCGAAATACGTACGGTTTGCTTGTGCAGGATACGATCCAGACGGTGTACTACGCGTGGGCAATGCAACAAGTGGAGCCAGAAGAGCTCGGAGAAGGCGCATTGTATCCGATATGGAGGCTAAGGGAGATGCAGCAGCTTGGTGTTCAAGCTCTCATCTAAATAAGTTCATAACCCAGACCCACACTGTATGATCAAATCAAATCACTCCATTTTTTTCCCCTTAGATCTTGATGGAGTTCCCAGGGAGGGGAGGTCTCTCTGGGTTTAGAGGAAATTTTGATCAATTTTCTGATTTATTTTGAGTTGCATTTATAGTAGTAGATGCTGTTTGTTGTGTTGAAACTGTGTTATTTGATTCTGTCATAAAGGCCCTGGTAAGGAATAAATAACATAGTTATTTTAGAAATCTAATTGACTACAATTTTTGTGAATTTATTTTTCACATTCGGATTTCAAACACTGCGTAAACTCACGACCAACACATATATATAAGATGCTGTTTTTTAAATTAATTTATCAATGGAACATGTGGTGTTCTATGTGGACAAGACATTGTCTTGCCAACAAGAAGAAACACGAAGGTAAGTATTTTTAAAAGAAATTGTCTGAGAGATTAAAAAAAAGAAAGTGGATTATGATCCATATTTTTCCAGTGCCTTTGGGCCACTCGGGGGGTATTGGATAATATATATTTATATATATTGTCGAGTTTTAAATTAATAAAAATGGAGTTTATATATGTGCCTTGAGATAACATAGCCTTCGGAGAACGGGACTTTAGGTCTTTCGTATTATCGTTTTCATATGGTTCAGAAAATATTGGTGCTCTTTCGTTTCTTTTTTTTTTAATACAAATTTCACGTCTTTTATTTTATTCGTTTTCCTCTCTCTATTCTGTCGTGTTAGGATATTCTTCAACTAATTAAAGAATCTAATCAAATAATAAACAATTGTGTTTATATTAAATTTGATAAAAGCTTAACCAAAAAAACGACTTATTGTGTCTGTTTTTAAAATTTTAAATTGAATGTGAAATATTCGGAAAATAAAACAAAAATAAAACCTTTTAGAAACAAAATTTTCATATAAAAACTGACTCATAAAACTAGAATATCTAAAAATAAAAATTATTGATATATATATATATAATTTATTGTGTTCAATAAATAAATAAATAAATTAACATATCTGCAATATTTTTATGCACACACATAGTATAACCTAATTGTTGCTAATTTTGGGTAACTCTTTTTTTTTTTTAAAAAGAAAACTTTATAATGCAGGGCTAGACGATGTTCAATAATTGAAGCTGCTTACTTTCTCTTCGTATTCGAACAACTCTTGAAGTGGTCCTCTAGATGTACATATAACTTTTTCATACGTTATATATATATATATATTTAATATTTATATATAACATATGAATGTCTAACTCAAATAAACACTTTAGAGATAAAGAAAGTTCGGAATATTTATTGGTTTCAAGGCAATAAATCTCACAAATAGGAAGCATTCAAGTAGAAGGTTTGACTTGCAGATGTCTCTTTTAGCTGTTACTATCCTTTTATACTTTAAAATCCAAAATTAATACTATACGTTTACTAAATATTGCAAAAACAAAAGGAAAAAATAGTTTATTAATAATGTAAATAGGGGTGTAAAACACACTCATGAGACCTAACCCAATCCGACTCCTTCCGATCTGGAAAAATTTTAGTCCACCTCAATCCAGACTGTTTTTTAGCGAACCAAAAATATATCAACACAACTCATATCGTCTTAGCCCATGAGCCAATCGAACCGGTCCACGAACCAAATATATAAATTTTAAAAATAAAATTTTAATACTACTAAATATTTAAAACTAATTTTAATATTTAAAAAATATTTAAAATATAATAAAATATAAAATTTTAAACAAAAACAAACCAAATATGTAATAAAAATATAATTTGTATATAAAAATATTTTAAAAAATATAAAAATATTAAAATTTTAAAAAATATTTTTTTGTCCTACGAACTAAGCCCGACTCGTGACGAGGTAGCTTTTTTGGCCCAATTTTTTCTAGACTCGATTCAGAATAATATGGATCGGTTTGTGAATCGATCCGCGATCCACAACTCGTTTTACCCCTATATGTAAAAGTAAAAAATGTGACAATTTTTTTAATCAAAACGGCTAAAAAATGTTCTACATTTATGGATCCTTTTTTCCCTCTCTTTATCCTTCTTACAATAATTTTGCATTAAAACAGATTAGCATTAAGAAAATAATTTGAACGGCTAAAAAGACGCTAATCCTAATTATTTAATATCCCCCATTTTGCTCAAAATCAAGCGTTACAAGTATACAGTCCATAATAATTATATATATATATATATATATATATATATATTCAAAGAATCACATCCAAAGTTTTTCCTCATCACAAATTTGCGGCAGGATCAAATGTGGTATCATATTAGGAATTTATTTTCATATTTTAACCGAATTTTCTCCCACAATCATGAAAGAGAATAAAGAGGAGACGAAAGACTAAAACATAGGTTTGGTTACCAAAATGGAAATATTTTAGGCGAGGTGCGAAAGTGGGGTGAACGCGCGGTATAAGAGCGTGAAATAAACAGCGAGAAGACTGACAAGATCTCCAGAGACACTATAGCCATTGTCCGATCAAACACCAATCCACTTCTCCAAACATGCTCTCGCACGTGTCTAATCCCTTTCTCAGTCGTCTCCTGTGAAGACTCGGAGTGAAAAATAGGAGACCCATCGATTAACTTTCCCACTTCCTCTGGTCTGTTCTCCACGATTAGGTTAACAAACTGAGAGAGAGAGAGAGAGAGAGATGAAGGGTGAAGGGAAACTGTTCTTGAAGTCTCGCATGAAGTGGATTGGTTTGGTCGGGCTTGTACTGTCGGTTTTCTCTCTCATTGTCCACTTTTTGCTCGCCAGATTCACCGCCGATGCCATTTCCGAGTACTCGATCCCTGTCGCGATCTTCTCGTGGAGACCCATCTTTGAATCTCCAAGCTTTTCCAGAAATGTATCATCTTTCTTTCTGTTTCTGTTCAATTTCTCTCCTTGTTGTGTCCAGCCTATAGATTGGACGATTTCAGATGCATTATTTGTGTATCCGCGTGCACACAAGCATTTGAACCCGTTTATATTTTCAAGTGGGCCATTCTTCTTTTCTTCTTGGCATCTTGAATTCCATCGAAAAATCCGATTTTTTCGCTCGGTTCTTTGCGGTGCTTTTGTTTTTGGTCAAAGCTCAAAGCTTTTTGCTTAATTTTCTGTAAACTCGTCGTAATTATTGTTCTTTTTGGTGCTTTAAGGGTTTATTAATTGTTTTCAGACTTTTAACCAAGATTCACTGTTAACCTCTTAGATTTTCACGAATTTCACAGACACTTGTATGTAAATGTATGCATGTATGTAATTCTTTCCCCTTGAACTTCTTGCTGTTTATGCAATAGTGTAGCTTTCTGGTCTTATACTCTTTTCTCTTTGGTTGGAAAATCTGTTCTACAGACACCACTGTACAGAAGACTCTGGGGCCCGACAAGGCATGTAGATTCATTACAGCCAGATGCAAATCCGAGAGGGTACTATGCAGGTTACGTTAGATTAGCTTCTTGCACAATCACATGGTTCTTCCTGCATATCTGAGATTGTGATACTTTGAGCCTTTGGTTATAGTTTGAACTACAAACTGGATAAGCTCTAAATGTGAAAATTGTTCACCTTTGCCAAGCTTTACTGTACTGGCTATTTTGGTCTCCACATCTATCGATTGAATTGTGTTTTTGTGTTTAGCAGATCCTCCTGCTAGGACAAATGGGTTTGTCTTTGTCAGAATACAAGGTGGTTTCCATGAGATTAGGAACTCGGTAAGACCTGCATTTTTTACTGAAGAACTTCCTGATGTTTAAATGATGCTTCTCCTCAGCTTTTTGATGAAAAAAATGGATCCTTTTTCCTCGCCTTGTTTGTTTAGATTCCGGATGTGGTTGCTATCTCTCGGCTTCTTAATGCTACTCTGGTTGTTCCCGAGATCCAATCAACGACCAGCAGCAAAGGAATCAGGTCCGGTCCATGATGAACGTGTTCCATCATTGATACCGATGATTGATGTGACTGGTTTCTGATGTCCATTCTGCCTTATTTTTTTCAGTTCACAGTTCAAGAGTTTTGCTTATTTATACAACGAGGAGCATTTCATTGCGGCACTCTCGAAAGATGTTTCCATCGTTAAAACTCTACCGAAGAAACTCAAACGGGCTAGAAGAAAGAAACTAATACCTTCCTTTAAAATCCCTTTTGGTGCTTCTCCTTATTACTACTTGCACCGTGTTTTACCCGTGTTGGTCAAGCATTCGGTGGTTGAACTCGTTGTTCCCAATGGCAGTTGTCTACAAGTAAGATCATTTCCCATGTTTTAAGATGCTTGTTTTCTCTAACCTAATGATCATTGTTTATCTTTGATTCGGGTTTGCATAATTATGCTCATCTTATTATGTTAGCAGAAGCATAGTGTTCATCGAGTTTCTTTTGAATAGGCTGAACTTCCAAGTGATCTTGAAGAGTACCAAAGGCTGAGGTGTAGGGTCGCGTTTCACGCCTTGCGGTTTAGGCAAGAGGTCCAAGAACTCGCCTCTCGGGTCTTGCTAAGGTCATTCACTTTCTTCGTGATCTGTGTTAATGATATTCAACCATATCGATCCACCATTTTCTGATTCGTAATGAATTCTAACCGCAGGTTGAGAACTTTGGGTCGGCCTTTTATAGCTTATGATCCCGGCTTGACCAGAGAAGCCTTGGCTTATCATGGCTGTGCCGAACTGTTCCAGGTACTTTGCCTCAAACCGTGAAAGAAGTTTCTCTATTCCACGAGTTTTTTTCAGAATCTGTTTATCGATATATCGTATCTTGAAACTTGATGTGCTTAATTTTGTGTTCGAGCTGCTGAAAAGGATGTACATTCGGAGCTTATTCAGCATAAACGAGCTTGGATGATAAAACGTGGGATCGTCAAGGGGAAGCTTATCGTAGATTCAGTACAGAAACGCATGAAAGGCATATGCCCTCTAATGCCGGAAGAAGTAAGTATCTTTCAAACGTTGTGGCTGTAGCACCATTCTAAATCGATTCTAAGTTTATGTGTCGTAATAGCATATAATGCTCTATTTTTGTTCAGGTTGGTGTACTGTTACGTGCTTATGGGTACTCGTGGGATACAATCATATATGTTGCGGGGGGAGAGGTTTTCGGTGGGCAGAGAACGATGATTCCTTTACATGGTATGTTTGAGAACGTCGTTGATCGGACTTCTCTCACTACAACATGGGAGCTGACGAGAATGTACGGTCGTGAGACCAAACTCGAAGAGAATAACAAAAGGACACCTCCTTCGGTTGAAGAAGTGATGGTCCAAGATTCTTGGAAGATCTCGGGGCCACGCCCTCGCCCTCTTCCGCCTCCACCCGCAAGACCAAAGTATTATAACATCGAAGGATGGTGGGGATGGGTGGCCGAGAGTGACAACGAGCCCGAAAGCACTGTTATAGAGCTGAGAACCAACGCCCACAAGCTATTGTGGGAAGCGATTGATTACGTGGTAAGTGTTGAAGCTGATGTCTTTATCCCGGGATTTGATCGTGACGGGAAAGGGCACCCGAGTTTCGCTAGTTTGGTGATGGGTCATCGGCTTTATCAGTCTGCTTCTGCTAAAACATTTAGACCAGATAGGTACTGTTATCTGACATGTTTTTTTTTGTACTACAGTATAGAAGATGCTGTTATGATAATAAAGCCATGGATAATAAGCTCTTGTTCCGGTTATTACAGGAGACTGATGGCTGCGCTTCTTGAAGATATCCAGGATCATATGTACGAAGCGAATCACACATGGATAACGTCAGTGAGAAGGCATCTGAAGAGAAGCTTACTCGAGGGTCTAAAGGAATCTTCCGAAACGTCAAAGCACCTTTCTTTTCTCGCTCACCCGGTCCCTGAATGTTCATGTTTCAGACCACACGATAAGAAGCCTGAGACACTGGCGAAGAACGTGTCGATGGTGGAATCTGATCTCGGGGTTACCCAACGATGTCCTGGATGGATGGAAGGTGTCGAGATTCAAGGATCAAAGGATAATGAGATAGAGGAGGATGTCGATGAGGAGGATTCGTCTTCTTCCGGAATGTTCTTTGGAAACGGACAGAACAACAACACTGTTAGCCATGAAACTGGAAGTCCCGAGGTTAACAAGGAAGAAGGTCAGCTAGAAGATCAAGAAGAACTCGAGGGCGGAGATAAATAGGGTAAGTTTTGAAGCAAATGAATTGGTTCTGTTCCACAACTCAAGAACCCTGCAAGCCATCCAATGGCATCTGGAGAAAAAGCTCTGGACATATGCAAACAAATAGGTTACAGACAAGATGTAGAGAGGGAAACGAAGTGCAGATACGAGGAAGAAAATCTAACTCGGGAACTCGGAGGCAGAGACAGGATATGTAGTTTTAAGTCTTTGGTTTGTTGTTCCCACTGAGTTTGTTTAACCTAAAAAGTTGTTAGCTTTTTGTTCATGGAGGCATCTGTGGTATCATCGTTTGTCTCTGAACTTTCTGGTGATCAGTTTTGCAAGAGCTCGATGTCTTCTGATCCACAAAACACAGGCTTCTCGTGTAGTTTTTCCAGTTTACATGCATTTTTTTTTGTCAATTTAAAAGTCTGATTTTTTTCGATGATTTTTTTTTTTTTTTGTGCTTATGGGTATTTCACCAAATCTCATACTGGCCACCATGTGAGCGAGTTGGAGAAAAAGTAGGGGTGTATCTGATCTCTATAAAAGGTTTGTGCCTGAAGTGTAATTATTGATGAATATGGAGGTCGTTTTGATATCTGACAATAAATTATTCTTTGTTGATTTAATTTTGTCCTTTTTCACCTAGGGCTTTTGTTTTTCCCTTAACAAAAAATTAGAGAAAATCTCCCTCTCTCTCCTCTCTCGCTCGCCGGAGCTCCGTCGGGCATCTCCATCAACTGTATCACCTCCGGCGAAGAAATCGTCTGTGCTCGAGCGATGAAGTCTCCGGACCTGGAGGAACAAGAGGATAACGATGTGTACGATAATTTACCTTGTCGTAACGGTTCTTCTTCAGGTTCGTGTCGGAATCTATGTGGTTTTCGTCTCCGCGTAACTTCTGCGCAGGATTTGATATTCATCGTATCACTTTGGCTGGAAATTGCAGGAGAGGTGACGAGGCGAAAGACTAGCACGTACAGGTCGAAGCATTCAGAGACTGAGCAGCGGAGAAGGAGCAAAATCAATGAAAGGTGAGATTTTTGAGGGAGTTTTCTGATTTCCCAAGAACAGAGAATTGTTTTCAACTCTAATGTAAGGCATGTATGCATATTACGATGGTATTTTCCTGTCTTTGAGTGTTGTCGTGTCCTGATTTTGGCGTTGGTGCATGTGATTGGCCGCTTCGGAATGAACTTTTATACACATGAGGTTGTTTATATTGTTGATTTGACACAGGTTTCAAACTTTAATGGATCTGATACCTCAAAATGATCAGAAACGAGATAAAGCTTCCTTCCTGTTGGAGGTATCCTCTGATGGAATATGCGTACACCTTGTACAAGTTTGGATGAAACAAGAATCATTCAGTCTAGAATTGACTTGTAGTTGTTTTACGTGTCACAGGTTATAGAGTATATCCATTTTCTTCAGGAAAAGCTACAAATGTACGAGGGTTCTCACCAAATGTGGAATCAAGGCTCAGCCAAATTGATTCCATGGGTAATTTCTTTTTCCTTTTGTCCTTTTGTGCATGTTTCGCTTGTAGACATTTCCTGGATTCGTTTGCCAATCTAAGTTGACAATTTTGTTTTCAACTGACGTAATTCATTTTCAGACAGCACAAAATTCCTCATTTCATTTATATTCCAACTAGAAAGCCAGTGAATCTTTTATCTTGCTTTTTTAGTTTTATTTCTCTCTCTCTCTGTTTTATTGGAAAGAAAAATGACTTGTTGATTTGTTTTGGCGTTCTGTAAGATCTTCTCAGTTCTATTGTTTCATCTGATTTTCCTATAGAAGTATTTTGTTTAATGGTATTTTATGTTCTTCTTTGATGCAGAGAAATAATCCCAGGCCTGCTGAAGATGCCAGTGATCATTCTCAAGGCATGAAAAGCTGGTCAAGTCATGAGAAAGCTTTTGTTGCTCCTGAAATACTCTCTGATATGCAAAACTCTCTGGACGCTGATGTCGACTCGATAGCTGTGTTCAGGACTCTCAATCAGGATCCTACTTCAGAACTTCCATCTTATTTTCCGGCCCATCCTACACTGCAGTTTGTTCAGCAAGATTCGTGCCAAGTGAGACCAAGCAGTGGATCAGCTGTTTGCAATACAAGCGAACCTTCTAACTTGAAGGAAAAAAATTTGGCCAGCTCGTCCACTGCCTACTCTCAAGGGTAAGAATGTAATGCAAGTTATGAAAAATACTTTTCTGTTTAATAATTGGTCTCTTGCTGAGGTTATCGTATAGTTGCTATGAGAAATGTACGACGATGGACATCTTTTTTCTCTTTAGTGTTGCGGCTTTTCTTCTCTCTGTTTTCGTGGATACTTTTCTCTGTTGGGTAGTGAGGGATTATGCACGCAAGGCTGATGTGGTTGGCAATGCTTTCTTTATTCTCTAAATTGGTAGCAATATTGTTGAGTGTAGAAGCGCAAGATTCTTACTACTATTGTGCTTTAGCACACCATGGTTCCAGATAGAATCTTTTTACATTGCAAACTGAAGTTTACATCTCAGATGTGGAAAAAACTCATAGCAGCATGCTTGTTTTGGTTTTGAATAGGGTACTAAGCTCTCTTACAGAAGCACTTAAGTCATCGGGTGTCAATTTGTCAGAGACCTTGATATCTGTGCAGCTTAGTGTTGGGAAAAGAGCAGATCCTGAGGCTGCTGTCACTGCTTCGGCTTCGGCGGTACGTTTATAGCATCGATGCCGAAAAAAATAATAATAATAGAAAAACACAAGCAAACAATATTTCTGAGTGATATATCCGTCATCTTAAGTTATACTTCTTTGTTTTTACCTTTCTTTAGGAAAATACCAATGGGCTCGCAGACAGAGAAGTCGGTTCCCAAGGTGAAACTAGAAGCTTCTATGAAGAATCTAAACATGCCCAGAAGAGGATAAGGCGATAAGCAATATTCTTTCTTTCCCCCTGTTTTGCCCATCTTGCTTTTGTTTCTTTTGTGGGAGTTTGACATTTTTCTCAAGGCACCATGGAATATCTAGGTTCAGATCGATTGTAAATACTTGTGGTCACTGCGTTTACCCGTTGCATTTAATCTTATAGAAAAGAGAGAAGAAGGTTGTAGCAAGTGTTTACGCTTGAGATACAATACAAGCTCCCATGACCATAATGAGATGAGAGGTGACTCTTGCTGCTTTATCACGTCAGTTTTCCTTTATACAGTCTCATATTTACTTGTTTTACCATATCCTTCTATGTTGTACCTTCGTTTCCAAAGGGTTAACTGCGGTTTTAGGATACCCAGATGCAGGAGGAAGTAGAAAACTCGTCTTTATTCTTAACCCTGATATAGATATACATTTTCAAATACAAGAAAGAGTGAATCTCTCAGCTAAATCATGAGGGCATTGTATGTATCTTGATACTCAATACTCCATCAAGGGGAGAGTTCATGTGTCGAAGAAGATGAAGCAGGGGGAGGCCCTGGGCTGCGTGGCGGTGGTAGGAAAGGGAATGGAGGAAATGGGATGAATGGTCGTGGTGGTGGTGGTGGAGGCGGAGGGGGAGGTGATGGGATTAGGCCTGGAAAGGGTGGAAAAAGCGGTGGCAGTGGAGGAAAGAAAGATGGTGGGGGAGGAGGAGGAGAAGGGGGAGGCTGAAATGGGTTTGGAGGAAATATCGACGGGGGAGGAGCAGGAGGAGGCTGAGGAAATATCGGAGGGAATATCGATGGAGGAGGAGCAGGAGGAGGCTGAGGAAATAACGGAGGAAATATAGATGGAGGAGGAGGCTGAGGAAATATCGGAGGAAATATAGATGGAGGAGGTGGCTGAAATGGATTTGGTGGGAAGATTGAAGGAGGAGGTGCAAATGGGTTGGGAGGAAGAAACCATGGAGGTGGGAAGAAGAGCTTCTGGTCTTGGAGCTTCACCAGGTATTTTCTCTTGTCTTGAAACTGAATCTCAGTTGCTGTCTTAGCTTGTCTGAACCTATCCGATTGCTTCTGTGCCACGTAGAAGATCCCTGCAAACAAGATCTGATCTCCCTTTCTTGATTTCAGACGAACAGGAAGAAACGATGAAGAAGAAGCTGAGGTGGATGATGCTGAGGCACAACACGAGTCAGCAAGTAACTTAACTGAACACCTCTTGATTCTTTTTAAGCATTTCTTGGCTGGGAAAGGACACTGAACCCGGAATTCCCCACGACCATCAGTTACTGTTTCTTGTCTGAAACTCGGTCTTGATCTTCTGTCTCTGCATTCCACTTCAACAGGAGAACCTGAGAACCAAAAAAAAGAAAGAAAACAGAGTGACAGACTTCACAGAAGGAGAAACAAAAACATATGAATGAACATGTCTGGTCGGGTTTCGGGGACCTGAAATGAGGTAGCTGGTGTTGCAGTAGACAGTTCCGACGACGACGAGTAATGGTAGATTCTTGGCCTCTGAAGAGAGATTGGAGACGGTTATTGTGAAGAAGAGGGAGAGAGCAAGAATGAGAAAGGAAGGCATTGACATTGTCGAGCTCTGAAGAGTGATTTTGGCCATCAAAACTGACTTTAAAAAAAAAAGGTTAAAAGAGCAGAAGAAGACGTGGAGCTGCTTCTGCTGTAGTGTAGAAAGCTTTTGTCTGTTTTTGTCTCGTGATTCTCCTACTCTTGTTTCGGTGTCCTAAGGAAAATATATAAAAACAACACATGAATTTCAATCCCACCAAATAAATTTTGCAATATTAATTTCTTTTTAAAAAAACAGGATTGAATTGAAATGGTTTTGTTGGATTTTTTTTTCATATAGCATGTTTTATCTGTAAGTTGATTTTAGAAACACTATATATAAAGGCGATGTAGGTTTCTACTGACCTGTAATTTTTTTTTTGGGGGTGGGGAGGTAAAAAAAAAGGGATAATAAATTTAAGATAATTGAAACTGTCCTAAATATATGGTCTGAAAAAAATCAAAAAATAATTTGCTTGTGTGGAAGAGAATAAGGATATTTCCTGTTGAATCACGAGATCACTTCAACTCAATCATTTGGACAATGTTTTGTCCGATTCATATGTTTGGTGGCACACCAAATTTTCTAATTAATTTTTTTTTCACTTTGGATGTTTTTTTTGTTAGAATTCAAGCCTTATCCCAAACTATATATATATATATATATATATATATATATATTCAGTGATATTAATCCATTTAGTTGAATTTATGGCATAAATTATTCGTATCAACGTCTGTATTTGACAGTAATATAATATGATATAGTTCTCGTTCTAATTGATCCTTCTTGACAGAATATATTTGATAGAGAAAAAACCTTTAGGCGCGTAACGTATACTCGCGTTAGTTGAGCGTGGGCGTGAATAAAGAGAGAGCATTTTATTTAATGGCTTAAAGATATTGATGTTTGTGATCAAATAGATTTATAAACTAAGCCCAATCATATGAATTATTATTTAAGGCCCATTTGATCAAATACCTTATCTCAATATTAAAAAGCCCAGAAATATGATTACAGCCAATAATATGTTGAAATAAGATGGGTCTATAGATTAGTATAAGGCTAATCCATCAATAATTATAAACCGATTTAAGCTTTGGGCTTTTAATTTACAAAAGATTTATGACTTTATCCGTTTTAACCAATTAATATACATATAATGATATAAATGAATCCTAAAACAAAACTTGTCCCTTGCCCAGATACAATTTATCCTCACCTAACAAGAATCCAAGACCACGAAAATGAGAGTCAGACACTTGCAGTGATGGAAACTTAATCCCACAACTTCTTACATACAATTCAAAGATCCATACAGTGAGGATTCATATATACATAAAATAACTTCTTGTGATACCAAAAAAAAAAAAAAAAAATAGAGCCAATGGCTTAAACATCCCCCCGATGCCCATACCAATACAGAAATAGAGTTCCATTAGGAAATTAGCAAAGCAGACCCACCAAACCTAACAACAACGAGGAAACCAATTAACCTATACAGAGAGAGAGAGAGAGAGAGAGAGAGAGATGAGTTGTTTGTATCTATACAAATTGTACCTGATGCTGTGCCCAAATGTCGATGGAGATTCAGAACCAACCTGAAGCTGTGTCTTGCTGTTTTTTTAAAAAAATCTCTACAATGATTCCTTGTCGTAAAAGGCAAGAAGCTGTTTCACATGGTTATTCCAAGCAGCCACGCTCTGGCCATCCACTTGAGCCCAGTCCACAACCGTTGCAGCTGGTTGCTCCCACCATTCTTCCACCTTCATTTGTAATTCCACACCATGTTTAATCCCCATACTGGATTATATAGCACAATGATTGGTAATAATTAAAAAAAAACAGCTCTTGACAGTGAGAATGAATTATATTATACAGTTTGAAAAGTCAGTTCCCTACCAGACCCCTCACATAGTTGCAATGTTCCAAGGACTCTTGAGCATTTACAACCGCAGACTTCAGTTCCGGCAACCATTTCTCCGTTATTGTTCTGTCTTGTTCGGCAGCAAGATCCAGGCAATACTTAGTTGTCCTGTGCATTTAGTTTTACACACAAAGAATGCATCATCAGAGGAGATTAAACCAGTCATATTTAAGACATGAAAAAAAAAATGGCATATCTAAGGAAGGTAATGCGGTGCACAGCCCGTATAAAGGAATACAGTGGGGCTTGTTTTACCTTTCGTATTCTTGCTGGGCATGGTAAGCATGGTTTAACAAAGCATGCCCACTTTCAGCAAGATCCTTCCGTATATGGACCAAGTTGATTGCCTTTGCTAAATCTTCTAAAATACATGCCTCAGAGCCACGAAGCTTCAGACAGAACCCAAGAGATTCTAAAACTGATGCCAAACTTGCATCTGAACACTCTAGTCCTGTTTTAGCAGCAAAATATGTCAAATATAACAAATCCTTTACAGAATCCACATTAATTACGTTCATCACTTTTAACTATTGTGAGCGCTAGCAAATTTATTTAAAGGAGCTTCATTTTCCATTGTTCTACTAAATGCTGTGGAGATCTGCAGCTCGTCCAGGGTGCATAGATAGGTGGAAGCAGCCTTACAGAGCACGTGGACAGTGTTAAGCCACTTGGGTTTTTCAGCCTGTCCAAAACTATGCAGCTGAACCTCTCAATACGAAAAGTGTCTCGAATTCTTGGTTTTGTTTGGTTCAATTTTGTGCTGCATTGTTTTAACAACAGCTCCGCAGCAATCATTCTAGTTTGGACGAGCACCAAGTGCTTTGGTAATGAACAGTATCTATTGTTCATTGTCCCATGCTCTCAAGTGGGTTCACGATTCATCATCCAAACTGAAAAAAGAAGACTCACCTGCAGGATATTGAAGGGCAGCAGAGATACGACACATAGACGGAATTGCTGATGGATCTCTGGCACCAGCTCTTGCTGTCAACAACGCAGCATTCTTCTCTGCGGAGACAAGAGCTTCAGGTCCCGTCGATCCATTAGCACCCATAGACTCCAGAAGTGCCTGATTAGGAAAACATTCAAAATAAAAGAATAGATCTAAGGCATCTACAAGTAATTTTGATAAAAAGAGAAAGTCATGTGATCAGAATTCCGCTAACCCTATGAAATCAATAAATGTGCTCCTTGAACCACGTGCCAACAAATGCCTACAATCCAAGATTGTTTTACTTGAAAACCAAAATAAATCTCCTAAATAGTTACCCATACTTTCCTATATGCAACATATTTTCTTTCAGTGTTTTCCAAAAAATTCAAATAAACCTGGTTCCTAGCCCACATATATCTCGCCAAGCCATAGAATCAGAATGCACAATGATACAGAGAAACAAAATACAACTAATACCATTACGCTCTTACAAACCTGCGGGGTTGCTGGAAGCATATAGAGGGTGTTATCAGGACTTCGGAAGAAAGCAGAAACTTCTTTCTCAATAAAATCTTTCGCACTAATTGAAATGTTGGCAACAACCTCACAAGCTGGTATGATAGTGGCGGATGCATATTCCCTTGCAGCTATTGGTTGCTGATTCCAGAATGCGGCAGCATCCTGAACAAGAATTAAATGATGATATAGTGTGATGCCAATTTTAATTATCTGATTTAATTCAAACACAATAGAAGTTTAAAGATTACCATGTTGGCCTTCAGAAGAGTGGTATATATGGTCTCAAGTTCAGATCTGCGAGCATCAAACTCTTCGATTTTCTTCCACTTCTTTTCCAAAGAATCTTCGGCTTCTTTCCTTTCGGCACATAATTTATTTAGCCTTTGTATTTCAGACATCAATATGTTTAAACTAGCCCTCAATCCAGCAGCTTCTCTCTCCTTGGCCCAAACTTCCAACTGCAAAATGAGAAAATCAGATAGCTCGATCAAGCAAATATATCAGATGTACACTAAAATTTAATTAGGCATTCATGATAACTGAACATCAGTATTGTGACAGACAACATAAGACATGATCAGCATGTTAAGCCTAATGAATGTGCTCATTTCAATTGCACCATCTCGCAATGCAATGAAGTTCAGAGAAAAGTATTACTGATAGTTGGATGACAACGAATGTTAAAAGTAAAAGGACAGAATCAAGGAAACTGACGAAGTTCAGGCAGTTACCTCAAACTGCCTAAGATTGCCAACATTATGTGATGTGCCTCCAGAAAGTGAATGTGAAGAAACTGTGTCAGCACTCCCGTACAAACGTTTTAGAAGCTTCTGACATAAGTCCCTTGCTTCAGTAGCTTTGTTTATAGCATCTTCAGTAGCCAGAAATTGTTGAACATGTGCTTTCTGGTAACGGCAGCATAAAAGATTGTATAAATGGAATGTTACAGGCACGACAACATAACATGTCATGTGAACCTACAGCACCAGAACACCTAAACCCAGAACAAGCTGTTTGTGCAAAAACACTTCTAAGCTTGATAGATCTTGTTTGCCAATATATATTTGTGTAAATATATATACATAATATATATATATATATATATATATATTTATCCACAAGAGAAAAAAAAGGATTAACCAGATAACGAAATTAACCTGTCTTTCAAGGAGCTGATTGTTAGATCCTTTGGAATGAGTATCTGTATTTATCCTCCCGTTACCATTGAATTGAAAACTTAAAGGAGAGCTCACATCAGAAGATATGTCCGTTACATGGTTGTTCTCGTACTTGTATCTGTGAAATGAATTGAAATCAAACATCTTGGTCAGTCAGATCAATACCCTCAACAAATAACCAGAAAAAAAATGCGAGATATATCATTCAAGGAATAAATAGAAAGAAACAGACGTCCGAATACGATTGACAGCACCACGCAAGACCAGGACCAACTCACACCTACCAGATCAGAAACATTAAAACAAAATCTGGTAGTGAAATAGCTCCACTAAAAGAGTACCAATATGCATTATTGATTGCACAAATCTGCAATGCAAAGCCCATTTTCGGCACTCAAGTGAATTACCCAAGCAGAAGCAGAAGTAAAGGCAGAAGAAGGAAACTGAGGAGACACCTTAATGTTTCGGCATCAGCTCTGACATCAGACTTCTCTATTTCTCTGTATATTAGGGTCTTTAGACGTGTGGTGTATGCATCAATAGCCTGAAGCAGTAGAGGAGGACTCCTCAGACAATTCACAATAACAGTTCTTATTTCATTGGATATTTCTCCATCATATTCAAAGCCCAGTTTCGTAACTTCCAGCTCTGGATGTGAATGAATTCCATTTCCTTCGTAAGCGGGGAAGGAGTTACGTATTCTTTCAATCATGTATGATGCAAGCGATTCACAAGCTTTCCTGATATTTCGTTCTCGGGTTGTTTCAATGAGAATGACATCATCAGACTTACTTCCTTTGACAGTGGAATAAACAGCTTCCCTCTCAATGTTAATGCTAAGGCTGCTTGATACTTCACTAGAAGAATCAACAATTGACCGTTGAGCATCCCTTGCTTGGTTAACATAGACTTGTAGCCTTTTGTGATACTCAGCAAATATTCTTGCTGCGTCATCACATTGTTGATCATAAGCCTCCAACATCACTTGTCTATGCCTGTAAAATGAAAGCAATTTTTAGCGTAATTCCAAATATCTATCGAAGGTAACAGTATCAAATGACTCTGTGTATCAGAATCAATGCAGTTTATGCTTGTTGTAACAAGAAAACCGATCAAGTACATGCCGATTGCTAGCCAACAATGTTTCATCTCCGGGAAAGATAAACTTTAACATTTCACCAAGTCTAGATAGAAACAGAAACTTCACAATACAATTAGCGTATAACCAGACATGGACTCTTTGGGTAATTGTATCTCACCCTCCAAAATCTCGGACGAGGAAACAGAAACAACATCCGACAAGATGTGAGGAGTTGGCAGGAATTGCTCAAGTGAAAATTAGGAATTTTCTAAACCAGATTAGCATGACACAAGTACAAAACTATCTTTCAATTCTTTACTATCGTTTTGCTGAGGACAAGACACTAACGCTAGTAGAGAAAACTACATTATCAGAAAGCACTAAAAGCTCGTAGTCGTCAGAAGGGTAAATTATAAATACAAAGAAATTCAAATCAAACCTATAATTCGCCCGCTCATCAAGCATCCTCTTTCGTTCTGCTTCTTCTCTCGAAACCTCCAACATTCTAGCCTTCAGATCCTTTCTTTGCCTCCTCACAATATTTCTCAATCTCTCCACCTCCTTTGCAGCCAATTCCCTCTCCTGCAATGCAGCCTCTCTGCTCTCTGCTGTGTTCGAACTCTCCCCAGCCACAGCTTTCGTTTTTCGCCTCCCTTTACTCCTACCCTCCTTCTCGGTATTTACAGAACTATCAGTGCTAGTTTCGCCACTGCCCCCATGAACTGTAATATTCCTCCTGATGTTCGCAGCGGTCTTCTCAGATTTCACTCGGTTAATCAAAAAATTCCAAATGGGTATCATGTTTCCCCTGCAAATCTTCCTTATCGCATCGGCAGAGGGCACATGGGATTTGCTTGGGGCGCTATAGGGGCCAAACGGGCGGTAACCCATTTCCTTCTGCAACCATTCAAGTATCGCCTCTGGTGTCGGGGCCGAGCTCGATATGCTCTGCATTCTGTAGAACTCGATATCTCACCAAAACTTCAAATCCCAGGAAACCCTTCACTTATCTCCAGACATTCGGCCTTCCGCAGAAGAAAACCCCTCGAATTCTCGACTAAGGTCGAATCCAAAACAACAAGAGCAAAAAGGAACTTTTAAATACATAGTTTACACAGAAGGAACCAAAATTTCTCGACGCGCATCCACATTACTCGAAATAATCTAGGGTTTTAGAGCGCTCGCCAAAATTCTATCTGATTCCAAATCTGGACAAAAAATTGGAGTACGAAGACACAAGCACCGAAAAGGCGAGATTCCCCGACAATCGGAGAGCAGAGAAACAAGCAACCGAACAGATCTGAGGATCACAACCGCCGAAATCTCCAGTGCCCGAGACAGGAAGAAAGATAAACGATAACGACAGTGATTGATTCGGGGGGAGAGAGAGAGAGTTCAAAAAGGTCCCGCCCGCTTTTTTCTTTGTTTTGCGATCCAAGGGATCAACTGGGAAGATTTCGTAGAAGTGACTCAGTTAAGTCGCGTGTGAATTCAGATATGGAAAGAGTTCCGGGTCGGGTGGTAAAAGGGGGCCGACCCGTTCTTTTGCCCAAAAACTAAATTAAAAAGGTATGGGTCGATTTTATAAATAAGTTAAAATACGGGGGCTGTGTCTGTGAAAAGGCATGTTTTTTACTCGCACCAGATTCAAATTCAATTTAGATGGGTGTCGGTCGAACGTGAAAGTCATCTCTATTTCACTGAAATCTGTACATTTATCTTCCAAGCGTTTCTCCTCGAGATCATTAGAAGCAAAAAGTTCGAAGCTTTTGTTCACATTTGTAATCATTAGAAGTAAAAAGTTGGAAGCTTTTGATGAAGAAGAAGGTTCAAAATACGTTATTTGTATTATTACAGGAACCATCAAGAACAAAATATATGTATTACACCAGGTTCTTTATCAGAAAGATTCTCTTATTGTTATGTAAATAGCAGAAACTTCCATGAATCTCCATGGCCAGATGGATCATGTTTGTGTCTGTATTATACAAAACTCAACTTGTTGCTGCTTGAAACGCTCTCTGGAACGTGTCGGGAGCTTGGGCTCCGCTCAGTGTCAGCTTCCCGTTGATCTGAGCAAACCCAAAAACCAGATACAGCCAAAACAAAACGAACACATAAGATAGATCAGATCATTCGAAGATGTCAGAACTTAAGAGCAAGTGAACTTACCGAGTAATGTGGAACTCCTGTGATGTTCCCTGAGTACCTCTCCAGTTCCTCCTTCACCTTCATTACATAACAGAAGGGATTTACTTTCAATGTGAAGATGATTACAGAGAAAAAAATCTGGGAAAACATGTTTCAGACAACAACATACCTCTCTGACTCCATTGTTAGGATCTGCAAGAAACTCACCTGCTCCTTCTATCCCCAACTTCTTCGCTGATTCGACGAGAAACTCCCTGAATCCAATCGCTATCCACTATCAGATATTGCCCTTAGTTCTGATGTATGATTAGATCTGAATTCTCTCTTTTTTTGATTCGGGCATTCTTGCATTCTGCATCAGAAGCTGCAGACATGAACCACAATGTGAAATCATATACAGACCTGTCACCGATGTATTTGCCTTGCGTGAAGTAACCGAGACCTAACTCTTCTGCAAGGCTATGTTGCTTGTCTGGTGCTTGTTTCCCGGCATAGTATATAAAAGTCTGTGGCTATCCAGAGTGTTGCCCCTGTATATTACCAACTGATACATTCAGTATATCAACTCGATTCTTTCGAAATGACAGAAGAAATTCTCGATTCTTACGTGAGTCCAGTTGTATCATACTCTAACCCGAGGCCTCTGAAGATCTGTAACGAGAAAGAGAGATTAATCAAATCATATGAAGAAGAACACGAATCTAAGAACACAGAGAGGTGTGTTAGTGGAAAAACCTCTGACATTCTAGTGAACATCCCTTCACACCTGGCCCCGAACTTCTGCTGGTAAAACTCTCTCTTGCTCACGCCTTCTTTAGGGGCAGATGGGTCGAGGAAAAACGGGTGCCATCTAATCTATATATTTCCAGGTTGAAAATACGAGTTAGAACACCTTAAATTACACATCTCACCTCTCAAAGTAAGCAGATAGAGATAAATGAACCTCGAAATCGTATTGATCCTTAGCTGCATCCATGGCTTTGTCAAGATGTTTCTTGCCCACAAAACACCATGGACACACAGTATCCGAGCTCACGTCAATTCGGATAAGCTTTCTCGCGGAATGGGCCATTGCTTTTGCTTGATTCAACTATACACTTCATGAAACCAACAAAAACAACCAAAACATTATCAAAATCTTACCACAATGTGCTCATGTTTCTGCAAAAATCTCAGACAGAACCTAAACCTGCGTACGAGGTTTCAAAAGGATGCATAACAGAAAAAGTCTATTCCACCTCTTAACTTTCAGATCAGAATCAACATAAAGTCGGCTCCTTTATCAAGATTTTCTCTGAACGTTCTAGTTCTTGGCCAATCTTAACACAAGTCTTGTCCTGTCTCAATTTGAACAGAATGTACCATTAAGTAGGAGAATTCAGCTCTTAGGAAACATTATTGGGAGAAAGGAAGATCCAAGAAAAGGATAATTGGAGAGGGGGAAACTCAATATTAGGGTTACCAACAATGAAAAAAAGATCTCAAGATTAGATTCCATGAAGAAGAAGAAGAAGAAGAGAACTTGGTTATTTTGGAAATTTACTGCTCTCGGATTCTCAAAATTACTTTAGGGTTACCAATATAAAGAAATCGAAGAGATAAACCATCGAAACACCCACATACATACACATCCTTTACGCATAATTTCTCGGATTTACCTGGAAATGGAATCAGACAAAGATCTCGGGCTCTCTAATGGAGACAAAAAAACACGCAATCGGCTTGGAATTATGAATCATTATGTAGCAGTATATATATATATACACACACATTTACATATATATGTATCGTCGTCACCAACCGCATCAAATTCCGATATTTTTGACATTTTCCAACCTTTTTCCCATTTTAAGAACGACCCTCTAAATATTCAAGAAAAAAGTTTCTTTCTTTTTTTCTTTTTAAATTCAATTCGGGCGTTTTCAATGTGAAAGGTAAGATCGATTGGACTAAAAAGAGAGAGAAGAAGAATCTAAGGCATGGAGAAAATATAAAATAGACAAAACACTATATATATTATATGTATATATCTGTAAATAATTAAACTTTAACGGAAACTGTAAAATACTAAACGTAAAGAAGAGCTTCCAACGCACCATAAGTACCAAAACCGGATTCACTATCCGGTTTTTGGTTCGGTTCGACTTAAACCAAACATTCCTTCATAGTCGGTATATCAAATACCGGAATAACAAAAAGGAAATGTCGTTATGGTGATATATTCTTATTATTCTAATCTTCGGACCGACGAGGCATCCAATGCGGCAATGTGGTACTTGTCGGTGGCCGGATTAGGGTTCCAGCGTCGGCTTCCCTCCTTTGAAATGCGCCTCTGCGTACATATAATTCAACATAGACATATATAGATATATATATGATGAGATCGTTACTCGTATAAGAAACTTATCATGGAGAATTAATACATATAAATCTAACATTTCTTTATTATAGTAAAAAAACGAAAAAAAATAAAAGTACTATACCGTAATTCAAGCATACATTAAGGAAAAAAAAATTCAAAACAGTACATGAATAAATGTATGAAAGTAAACGTCTTTTTATTTTAGTTTCAAGTATTTTTCATGCAAGAAGGTCCATAATAGCATTAATGCATTAAAATCAGTTGTATCAAATGGTTAAAAAAATATAAATTCACATATAATGTTAAATGTCAACTAAAATATATGTATATATATATGTGTGTGTGTGTGTGTGTGTGTGTGTGAGGTGAAGCAATAAGATCAACGCAAATTAAGTATCAATCGATATAATAAAAACAGATTAATAAACATGGAGAAAAAGGGTACCCAAGAGATAGAGGAGGAGGAGGAGATGAGGGCTCTAACTCTCCACTTTGATCAACTCTCTCCACCTTCTTACTCTCGTCAATCTGTTTTTTATTTTGCAGTAATTAATTTGACATTACAAATTCACCATTATCTTATCCAAATTTCGATTATACCTTCTTCGTTAATTGATTTCGTAGTTCCTTTAGTTCCTTTTCCTGCGATCAAAAGTACCATACACTTACCAATATATATGCGTATATATGTAGACTAATCTAGCTTTCGTCAAGCAATGATTTTAATTTGAGAGGCTCGGTATTTAATTTGGGTTGTAGTATCTCACCTTCTTCTGGAGTTGTGTTATGGATTCGAGCATGAGCTGATTCTGCACCTCCAAACATGCATAAAATGAATACATACATATATATTACGGGTGTATATGTATCGACGCAAAGAGAAGTATATATTGTACACATGCATATCTATATGTATACACTGCAATTACGCAACACACACACACACGCCCTATATATATATATATGTATGTGTGTGTGTGTGTGAATGTTTATGTCTGGGTGTGTATGTATACATTTCTTAAAACTAGGAGAAATATCGTTGAGCTTTGACATATTCGTTATATAAACATCATAATTATATCACAATTAATCAACAGAATTTCAGATCTAAAAAATGTCTTTGATCCTAATATTATATCTAAGCCTAGACCAATGTAAAGCTAGTAAAGGGTATACATTCTAAACCTAATTTATGTGAGAGTTTAAATTAATTAAAAAGGTGAAAATAATTAATTAAGACAAAAAAAAAAACCTTTCTAGAGCGAGTTTTCTTGAGAGAAATATCAAGTTGCATCTCCAAACTCTGAAGCTCTCTTATACTTAACCCATCCATCTCTTCCCCTTTCAAGTGCCTGTGTATATGTTAATTACATATAAATCTAAAAATAATTAACCGTCCAAAACATTATACATATATATAGTTATGCATGTATATGATTGTGGATTGAGCTTTATAACCTTAAGCTCCTTTGCACAACATCAATCATTCTCAAGAGCTTCGAGCATTCCGTTGAACTGTTGCCCTAAATCATTTATAGATCATTGATTACAAACTGAAATCAGAAAAAAAAAAAAAAAAAAAAATCTCTCACTATTTGATAAGAGGTCCGATTTCAGTATAAGTACCTGCGAATCCGAAATTGGTGCAGGAATTTCCTGGCTAGAGCACGAGTGTCTCTCGTAACGGTCGATTATTTTATCCATGCTATAACATCGTTATGTAAATTCAAAAATAAAAATCACCCCATTTTATATAAACATGAAAGATTCGATTTTTCCCTGATCTATCAATTAAACATGAAATATTAACGAAATAACCACCACATATATATATATATATATATATGTATAAACCCCTAATTAAATGACTATATAATCAATTGATATAAACAGGGATGCAAAATTAGGTTATGAGAAAGAGCAAAGCTTCAGACCTTGAACCGGCGGAGTACTCAAAGAGTTTGCCCTTTGAAGAAAAAACGACCAAAGCTACTTCGGCATCGCACAACACAGAGATCTCTTGAGCTTTCTTTACCAAGCCGCTTTCGAGAAGGTGACTTGCCTCCTTATCTTATTCTCGATCTGCCTAAGCTGAACCCTCCCCCTTCCCATTCCTTTATTTTCTCGGGTTTTCTCGGCAACCAAACAGGAAAAAGGAAAGGTGAAGAAGATGCATGCAGTACACCCTCAAGAAAGGAGAAACCCTAATTTCTCTCTCTTGAAGGGTATCCAAAGAATAAAGAAGAAGAAGGAGATATGAAGAATTATGGAAGATATATTTTGGTGGTTTCTATTTTCGCGGTGAAGGAATATATATATATATATATATATATATATATACACACACACACTCACACTTATATGGAGGAAAAAGAGAAAGTACCAAATGATACAATTAGGGAAAGGGGAAGCAGAAAACAAGTATTTCTGTCAAAGTGTCCGAAATAGTCTTGGCGACTAGTTTTTATTCAACAAAATAATTAATTAAATCAAATCTTTTTTATTGTGCGGAGACTGGTGGGACTAAATTCAATATTCAGTAATTATCAGATTATCTGTACCATTCACAAAACGTTGTGATATCATTGGCTCTTATGGTCTTGTGGAATAAAATATAAGACTGGATAACAAGACATAATTAAAATAGTAATTAATTAAAAAAATGACCAATCATATGCTAACTATCATATTTATAATGAGAACATATGTGTATATTAACATAAAAACTCAAGTAGAGATGCGCAATCCTAGATTGTGAGATCCCATTTGTTATTTTTTGCAAAATGTAAATGTAAAAAGTTAAAATGCAATTATTTTTTTAACCCAACTACGCAGTTTCACTTTCACAGGCTCTAGAGAAATTTAACGTGTTGAATGGATCTTAACTAATTAGGGATTGAAAAGTCGAAGGAACTTTGAAATTTCAAAATATAGATAGTCGTTGATAAGACCAAAGTTGGGATGCAAAGCAAAAGAAGTAAATATATACGCTTATATATGTACGTATATCTCTACACGAGGTAGCCATACATGTAAATGGGCATATGCATAATAATTCTATTGCATGTATATATGCGTGTATATATATATGTGCGTATAACTTTAAGTACCCCATGTATATGCATCTCTATGTGGATGATGAACTAGTGGTCCATGGCCAAAAAGTATTAAAAAAATTATATTCTTGGTTAATGCGATTAGTATACTAGATTAGTAATAAAACTTGAGCGAGATAGACCTTCATGGGTCACATAGAAATGTGGTCCTGCATTAAAAAAAACAATATATTAATTATCTTATTATTAATTCATATTCTTTTGTGAAATTTGTACTACTACCTTCTTAATAAAATCCAATATGATGGAGACCATAACGCATAAGTTATGCTCCAAATTGTACTATACCCTTATATTCAATTCTCACGCTGTTGGATCAAGGTTGGGGACCATTCAATATTTTTCATAGAGCCGTGAAAGTTCGACGAATAATATAACATCTCATTTCTTTGAAAAATTAAAAAGATAAAGAACATTGTCATAAAAATATAATATAAATTCTCGATAAAAGAATCGAACGACGGATATATCACGAATATAGATAGATGATATATTTATCGGAAACATTTAGATAGTTGAAGGTACCACAATGTAGGCTAAAGGGGAAGATTTCTTACATCATGGTTGCAATTTGGAAGACAACTTTGTATTGTTTGACCCTTTGATGAGCTTTGAGGACATATTTCCCATATTCTCTCCATATGCAGAGTTCTTCCTTTCAAGGGCTATATAATACACCCTTGCCCCTACCATATATATATATATATATATGTATGTATGTACGTATGTATGTATGTATGTATAAATAAATAAAGGTAATTCCAAAAAAATCCTAAATTTATAAAATGGTAGAAAACTAATTTTCTCAACTTGTAACCTAGAAATAAATTTATCAACTTGCAAATCGTGTAATGCTTACAAGTTAAAGTTTTTTTTTTTTTTTGTTAATGTACAAGTTAAAGTTTTTTACCAACATTTGACCGTGACTTCCGTTAAATATCATCCTATTTACATCATAATTAATTGCCACATCATCAATTTTCAAAATCAAAATAACCTATTGAAAACGGTTCACGAACCGGTTCATTAAAAACCCATTAAATAAAATTTCCTTTTCTCCCAAATGGATTCCCCCCCCCCCCCCTATCTTGATCGAACCCTAACCCTAAAATAAAAATCCTTTCTCCGTCATCTTCTTCAATTTCCTATTGATTCGTCTATGTATTTCGGGATTAATTTCTTCGCATCTCTTTTTCTTCCTAGATATCGTAATTCAAATCTGATTGTTCTAAGATTTTGTCGAATGCTCTAAGTTTTTCTGGGTTTAATCATTTCCTGGGCTGTTCTAGCATTAACCATGAACTTGTCAAAATGATGCCACTGATGGCAATCAACCAACAAAAATCAACCACAACATTACGATTACAATTAACATTTATTTAACATAACATTATACTGAACATAAATTCAACAGAACATAACATCTGTACGACATAACATAACGGGTTTAGGGTTACGGTTTCTACCCAGAAGAGATAGAAGCCGAAGAGAGAGATAGAAACCGAACCCAGAGATGAAGTCGAAAGCCGATGAAACCCAAGAAGGGATAGAAGCCCAAGAGGAGACGAAATGGAAGAAGCCAACGGAGAAGGGAATTCGAAGGAGAAGACGAAATTGAAGAAGCCGAAGAAAAAGGGTTAGGGTTAGGGTTCGATCGGAGATATATATTGAAGAAGGGTTAGGGTTCGATTTGGGGGAAATTTTATGGGTTTTTTTTATTTTTCTTTAAATGAACCGGTTTAATTCTAATCGGTTATTTGATTTTTTTAGAATTGATGACGTGGCAATTATTCTGATGTGGAATGCCACATAGGATGATATGTTAGCAGAAGTTACGGTCAAATGTCTGTAAAAAAAATTAACTGGTAGCCCTTGCAAGTTCAAGCATTCCACTGAAAACATTTGGAGGAATTAGTTTTATGCCATTATACAGATTTATGAGATTTACCCAAATAAATAATTATGTAAAAAACATTGCTTCCACAAAAAATAAGAATTGATTAGTTAAAATTAAGCCTCACGAATTACGAATGTCAATTATATATTGATTTTATTGCCGTTTTTCTCTTTTATAACCACAGAGAATTTTTTATGCGAATTTATGAATGTAGAGACATAAATATATTATGACTAAGACTATAGCATAAAAAAAACCGCTTAGTATCTTCACTCCGCTCCGTTTGAATACCAAAATCAGAGGCATAAATTAAAATACAATTCATGTTTTTATTTCTCCAATAATTATACCGAGATACAATTTCTTCGTAGACAAAGCCTTCCTCCGGTACAATTAAAAGGCGCCATGACTATAATCCTGATCGGATCCACAAGACGACAAAGCTTGGACACTTTCAGCGTCAACGCTACAAACGCCGTTAACGTTAAGGTTACCGTTGGTAACGCTGGGCGTTCGATCGATGACGTCAAAGCCAAAACAACCGTGAGGAGGACCGTCGTCTAGGTTCCACAAGCTTCCCGACAAGTAACCTTCGTCATCAACCATGGATTGGTCGGACGAGATGCAAGTCCCAATAGTTGTCGTGTAACGAGACATGTCGTGATGATGATCGTAATATTGATCATCCAAGACAACACTACTGGTGGTTATGGCGTGTTGGAACTTTGGATCAAGCTCATTTGATATGTGGAAGAAAAATGATAGAAGTCAAAGCAGATAGAGGAAAATAAAAAAGAAGTTTACGTTGGTTTTTGGTGCAGTTTGTAGAAGTTATAAATGTGAAGTTATGTTGCAGTTTTATTTTGCGGTTATTTTTATGTCTTTAAATACATGGGTTAGTGTATGTAGAATATTATTGCAGATTGGTCTTTCTCTGTAATCCTCTCTTTTGAGAGTTTCGTGCGTATAAATATTTGTTATGTGAAAGTATTTCGATTTATAAAAGTTATCATGGTATCAGAGCGTTTAATGGTCTTTTTGGGATTTGTGGGAGTATGGGTCAGAAAAGATATTCCATTTCGGGTTTTTGTTTTGGGTTTGAAAGAGATGAGAGTCGTTGCAATGAAGATGATTCCGATATGGGCCGAAGAAGCGATGGTGCAGAAAACGGTTGTTGATGAACAATCAGAGATTGATTTGGTAAAATTTTTGCGAAGGCTGTGTTTTCTTTAAGTTTTAAGAAGGAAAAAAAAGAAGAACGAAGATGAATCGGAGAAGATTCGTGGCAATGGAAGATGACGATTCCGGGACATCGGAAAATTGTTGTAAGTTTGTCGGGTTTGTAAACCTGAAAATTGCGGACTCGAGAAGGGGCAGTGTTGCACTCGAGAGATGTATTGAATAAACCGAGATGGGGCAGTTTTGCACTCGGGAAAACGAAGATTGTTTTTTTGTGATGTGTAGATCTTGATCCAAGGGGGAGTGTTGGAACTTTGGATCAAGCTCATTTGATATGTGGAAGAAAAATGATAGAAGTCAAAGCAGATAGAGGAAAATAAAAAAGAAGTTTACGTTGGTTTTTGGTGCAGTTTGTAGAAGTTATAAATGTGAAGTTATGTTGCAGTTTTATTTTGCGGTTATTTTTATGTCTTTAAATACATGGGTTAGTGTATGTAGAATATTATTGCAGATTGGTCTTTCTCTGTAATCCTCTCTTTTGAGAGTTTCGTGCGTATAAATATTTGTTATGTGAAAGTATTTCGATTTATAAAAGTTATCATGGCGGCTTCTATGTCTTGGCCGTGATCTAGTTTCGCCGCCTCGCCGCCGCCGTCGTCCTTAGATCTTGATCTTGTCTTGTATCGACTCCCGCGGGATCGAGATTTCTCGGTCTTCTCTTGCTTGGATTTGTTTTTCTTGTTGAAATGAGTTCTCCAATATTATATCTTTCAGTACCATTAATTTGGCATTCTTCAAATCAAAATATGGCATAGTATATATAAATATGCATGTATGATCAAGTCAGCATCCACGGAGCATGAAGATATATACATATATATACACATAAACACACACACACACACGTGTGTGTGTATATATATATATATGCACAAGGTGGGATGGTGGAATTTAAAGCTTTTTACCTGCAGAGATAGCAGCAGAGCTCCATCTTCCTTCTCCATGCAAAGCGACATGCTCAGTGAGAAGTCTGTCTTCTTCAGGTGTCCATGGCCCCTTCCTCCATACTTCTTCTTGGCAGTTCTGATGATGATGACGGCGGAATCCCCCGTCATTGATTATATATATATACACACACACACACTTGAAAATTTTGCTTCTATATAAGCCTTTCAGACACACCACAACTATACACTCTTATATATACGTATATCTTTGCTCCTTATATTTTTGTGTGTATATGTGCGTGCAGGCGGCTATATAAATATATAATATCTGTGCGTGTGTTCCTGTATATGTGTTGTAAATGGTCATCTATGGTCAACATAAGTCGTCACTTCATGCTTTTTTGGGTTTTTGTCTTTTCCATTTATAGTTAACTAGCAATAAATTAAATGAACAATGATGTTATATTATGTGTATTTTAGTTTGTCAATCACGAAAACAATCTTTCTCGACCGCTAGTCTTCGACCAAGTGTCGCCACGTCATTCAAAAACAGCTCATTTTTTGTTTTATCCAATTAGGGTTTTACAAGTACCCAAAAAACACACGTAGTGCAATTTTTTTTGGAGTTTTTAATTATATAAAGTATATTTTTAATATAACAACAAATAAAACAAATTGAAAATATTATAATATGTAAATGTTTTTTGATTAAAAAAATATGTAAATTTTCATATTGCGTAGAATGGGAACAAAATAATACTGAAATCGGTAGTGGATTGTCCCTATGTACTCGAAAACAATTTACATACCAATAGAGTCTCAACACTTGTGAAATAAAATAATCAAAGAAACGGCATGATTTCTTAGTGATTTTTCACTTTATTATAAACTTGTGAAATTATAATTAAAATAATATTTGAACGTATAACATAATGAACTTTCTAGTATACTAAATCGGGCAATAGGAAGATTCGAATATGCCATATATACGTTACTAAAGTCTCAATGAGGCGTATAGGTTAATATATTTTTTGCCCTTTCGTGTGTACGAGTAAGCATTTATGGAAAGTCTTTCTCTCTCTATATATCCCCCACACACAAAGATAATTGTCATCTTATCTAGGGAACTTAATTGGAATCTTAAATTATGTAAATCGATACAAAATTTGAATTTGAATTGCGTAAAAGATTGCTAAAATATTTTAAAAAATCTTATAACTAGTGCACTATAATAACTGAATAGATATATCAGTCGTATATTAGTAAGTAATTCAACCGTATCAATATATATAAATTTATTAAACCTCAACTTCTCACTAATCTCAAGGTTAAAAATACCTCTTTTTTGTACCTCCAATTCTAATTTATAATACAAATTATTACTATGGTATATGTGGCTCACGTTAGCTAAAAAACTGCACAATTTTCTAACGTGCGCGATAAACTAGAGGAGCGAATTTTGTCCTTCTAGGGTTTAAGGAGCCCCAAATTGAATGGAAGAGCAAAATCTTAGTTTCTTTGGATGTCGTTAAGACCCTAAAACGTAGTCTCTAAACCAATCATCGATCAGGAAAGAAGGTTTTTTTGGCAGATTTCATCGATAAAGGTGGTTTCTTTTTCCTCGGTCTCTGAGCAGAAGAAAACGGAGACGATGTCGTCTGATCTCGGTGATTATACTGTCATTAAGGAAGGCGAATATGAAATCCTCATGCTCGCCAAAAAAGAAGTCTTTTACAGCAAGACCCATGTTCCAAAATCAGGTCTTTAAGCTTTTTCCGTTAGAATTCTGTGTTCTCTTAATCAGGGGTACAACAGAATTTGGTAGTTGTTCTGTTGATTATTGATTTTTTTTTTATGTAATGGGTTCACCGAAATACAAATGAAGTGTAATGCTGGCTGAAAATGAAGAAAGATCGATCCTTGAAGTTTCAGTTTTTCTGAAGAGTTTAAGTCGCATTGTATGGTGTGTGTGTGTGTGTGATTTGAACCACAGGAAATGTATTTTGAAGTTGATGAATTTTTGTTCAGGAGTGCTTTTGCTGTGTTGTTGGTCATCGGTTAAAGGATTTTGTTTCCCTGCGTTGAAAAATAAGGAATTAAATCCATAACATCGACGGAATCTTGAGTCTGTGTTAAGGTCACCAGATTCTATCATCCTTTTTATAGTTTGCAAGAAGAAATCTGATTTAAGGTGTTAAGTTCGTGGGAATAGGGACCAGTGTCAAATGGAGACATGTCCATTGCTGTCATAAGAGCAAGAGGCAATATTGTCTAGCAGAAGAAACAGAGTATCATAATCCATTGAGAAGGATGGCGATATATTTTCCCAGGGAAAAGCGCCTGAGAATTCTCATAGAGATAGGTGATGATGATATAGATAAAAGACATGACATGACAGGAGAGAAGCCATCTCTCAAAATGAAACATGAAACTGTTATGGGTTATTTGACAGGTTTATTTGCTGATTTGCAGCTCATTTGATTTTGATTCTCCAGGCTATGTCAGCTTCTTATTCTGGGCTGAGAGCATTAAGATATGCTTTTGAAGTATAAGAGATCGGTCAAGTTGTGGGATTAGATGAGGGTATCTCCTATTTCTTTCTTCTTTCTGAAACTACCCTGTTGAGAATTTTCCTTGCCGCTTTCTTTGTAAATGGAATAGGAAATCTCCTCTTGATTCCTCAGATCGGGGTCATGGGACATAACTATTGACTCGAAATACTCAGACCTTCTTATGCTCATCTCTATTGGTGATTTCTATTTGCAGCAGAGCTTCTCATGAATCTTTGGTTGCTCTTTCATTCCTTGCAGCATCATTAGAGGCTTGCAGAAGAAATATAGAGTTCGATGGTTCAGTTTCAAGATCGAAGGTAGAGTCACATTTCGCCAATCCCCACGTATGTATGCCCACAAATCCAAAAGAATTCGATATGGTATGTGACTTTGTCTATATCTGCATTCTAAGACTGATACATGTTACTATAAATGCAAAAGATATTTTAAGATATTTTCACTTTAGACAAAGAGCATTGACTGCCTTGACTATATACATGATCGCACAGGTCGGCCTGGATCCATCCCTATGGTTCATCTTCTGTAATTCTTGGACTCTGCGGTCCAATCTGCTTCATGCATTTGGGTTACGGTTCTTGGTTTTAGTCATTCATCTCTTTGCTTTTAGATATGGTTCATACCCTTTCAAAGGGAAACACTGTCATGAGATGGCTTTGAGGATTCTCCTTGCGTGTATCGAGGAACATCTCTCATATGACTCCATATCTTCCATCCTTCCAAGTATTTGCTCACATAAAAGTTAGTTATGTTTATAGTTGTTTCCTCTGCCACATTGCTTTTTCACAAAAATATATGATGTATGTAAAATTATGTCTGCCCATAGATGCAGAGTCATGCAAATCGCTATAAGCGGTACATAGCTCCTGTTCTATCGCTCCAATGGACTTCTAAGTTAACCTGTTAACTCGACCCTTGGCCTGGACATGATCATAGTCGAATATGAACTTAATGTGTTTGATGCAGTTCTGCTGGTGAAATGAAGAACTGTCATGTGTTTACCAGTGTAATGGTTATGATTCCTTTCATCTTCTGCCTGTTGGGATAACTGTTGAAATGGTGGAAACACTGATTTGGTATATACTGCATTTAGTCTCCCTTCTTGAACATCATCTCTTATCATGGAACATCTTGATTTCTCTGAAAACCTGAACAAAGAATCGATCGTCTTTGTGCTTGTGAACAGATAGATTTTGCCCGGGCAGGCGTCTCTTAGCAAAGCAGAGGCAAAGAAGAAAGATGTGCGCTTTCTTCGAAACCCGGGAAGAGAACTGAGGTAGAAAGAGCGAGGAGACAAAGCAAATCTGTACCTGGATCTGGGAAAACAGAAAGAGTTTTCCGGCCACATTGATCCTTCTTGTGGATTTGGAACATATTTACTTGTTTCTTGTCTTACGTTATGAAATCTGATGTTTTATCTGATGTCCATTTACAGTTTTTGTTTCTCATTCACAAGTGTGTTCATAATCCAAATTCACACAAAATATGAAAGAAATCGGTCTGAAAAAAACATTATTATTGACATCAGATTATATATGAAAAGTTCCTCTTTCTCTACCAAGGAAGATGGCAGCAAAGAAAGCCAAAGATGGGTTTGAACAAGGACCTGCCCATAATTCTGTACAGATGGAACAGTAAAATCTCTGAGGTGAACAAATGCTGGGTAAAAACTCAGAAGACAGAGACAAAGCTCGTTTCTGATCTGTCTTATTCTGACATAATCTACACACGGAAATTTTATACTCTCTCTCCCTTTTTATTTTATTTTTCTGGTTATTTTATTTTCCTGGGTTTCCTCTGTAATCTCTCTTCCTCCTCTGTACAAATCTGTCTGTCTTCTCTAAGATTTGGCAAAGTCAGTAAGCTGAAACCCTAGCATGGAACCCTTTCGGCGCAAAAACTCTCGGAAACACCATCAGTTTCTCTCCTCCAACCTCCTCCCACCTGCAAAAACCCATCACAAAAGGCAGTTTTAAGATTATGTTTCGGACACGAGTAAACAGATACCTTCTCGATGTTAATTACAGATTAGGGTTTTAACACGATGAAACATCAATCAGCAGCAGAAAGGGAAATGAACAAAAACCTGTATCTGGTTATGAAGTGGTGAAGGAAGGAAGAGATTTCGACAATGCCCAGTTCCTTGCCAGGACAGAGCCTGATTCCACCGCCAAACAGAAGGAAGTAGTTCTTTGTTTCCAAGTTCTTGTCCTGCATGCATGCATGCATTTGCGTTAGTCTTTGTACGAAACCCGTCTCAAGAACGTTCTTTGTTCATCGGTTTTCAGTGCTATAATTAAGAGCAAATACGTATCGGAAAACGACTTGGGATTGACGATAACTAACCATCCATCTCCATGGATTGAAGGTGAATGGATCTTGATACAGAGAGGTATCATAGTTCAACTCCCTTGTGTATACATATATTCTCCACCCTTTTGGGATGAAGTATCCTGCATCCATGAATCGATCAAATCACGACGATGTTAATTACTTAATTAGTACCCTAATGGGACCTTCCTAACATGAATCAAGGCTTCTATGAAATTAAAGCATGTCAATTTTGGAAAAAAAGGAAATTGGAGATCAAGATTTGGTACGGCGAAAATCTTGAGGAATTTAAAATTTAGAAAAAAGGAGAGGAAAAATAAAAGAGGTTATCTTCTGTCAAAAATTATTGAAATGGAAGCTATGGGGGTCACACAAGAGGATGATTGCATAGCTGGATTGGTTGGTTTGCCATGTAAATCATTGATATATTGTAAGGTCCACATGCTCATATATTTTATATATATAAAAAAAAGAGAAAATATTTATAAAATTATATGGTTTTATTATAAGCTTATTCTTTAAAAAAAATGAAACACAGTACTAATAAAACTCACCATTGAATTCCATGTCATGAGTTGTCTTCCTAAGAACACCATTGACGATGGTTGCCAATCTTGATGCCTCGAATATCACCTGCGATTATAAAACGGTCCAAACCCCCCATGTTTCACTAATCATATCGCCATCAAAAATAATCATAATGACCACCGAAACTACAATCATTAACTGTATTACTATTAACCATATATATATATATATATATATAATGATTGGGTTCACTACGTACACACAACCCTATCCTATTTGCATATAATATGGTCCGGTCGTTTTCTTGTAATACCGACATCAACGGTGTTCACACATCGCAAAAATAAAATCCACGTCAAGAAAATTTGTCGGATTCTATTTACTTCAGCACTATTTCAATATCCAAAAACTTGGCAAACACAAAATCAAAATCCATGGAGTCCAAGAATCATTTGCTTACCGCACGAGTGAATTTCATCGATTTCACATCTTCAAAATCGAGTGGTTCATCGCTACCTTTCCTTTCCCTAACAGAGAAGTGTTCCCTCTGCAACAAAAACCGAAATCAATACCTTAACCAAATCATACCGGTGCACAACCGGAGAAACCCGGTTCTAATATGGTTCGGTTTACGTACTCTGATCTCTTCCAGAGCCTTGGGATGATCATGGAGGTACTTAAGAGCCATCATGGAGGTTGTAGAGACAGTTTCATAACCCGAATACAGAATCGTTACAATTTGATCTCTTATCTCCTTATCAGATAAGGGGTACCGATTATCTTCCTTCCTCATCAAGTAACCCAACATATCATTGAAAGTTTCTCCAGAAGCTCTCCTCTCTTCCATCAGTTTGGTTAAAAGTCCATCTATGTTCTTTCTTGCCTGAAAAGCAACCGAAAACCGTCGATTATATATATATATATATGAATACACGTCTGTTTTATGAATTCATCTTGAAAATTCGAATATCTTACCTGAGTTCCGAACCGGTAATTCGAGCCCGGGAGGTTAATCGGGATAGATATGGTTCCGAGAACGAGCTTGAAGAACTCGTTTGTGAATGCTTCAGTTTCTGCTTTGGTTAATGTTTCTGCTACTTGTGCCAATGAAGACAAAAATGCCATCTGCCCACAAAAAAAAAAAAAAAAAAAAAAAAAAACAAAATCAATCACGAGTAAATTAATATATTGTATAACGGAACAAACAGCATAAATATGGAAGATAATAATTGAAAAAAAAAACATCATAAATATTCGCTCTTCAAGTTCAGACATAAAATAAAAAACTTTTTTAAAAAGAGATATTCAGACATAAATGCCATTAAAATCAGATCCAGTGGTAATTAATTAGTATTCGGTCGGTTTCTCTGAGATGAGAAGATGAAATTACGATTCTACCCTTGTCCGGGACCAACAAAACTAACCTCTGTTTTTCCTCTATTTTTTTTTTCTTTTGTTTTTTTTTTCTCGTTTTTTTTTTCCTTTTTTTTCAGACGAACATCGAGAAAACGGACCGAAATATTCAAAAAAAGTTTTCACCAAAAAAATAAATAATGGAATGTTGAAACCCAAGATCTGATTCATTTTCCAGAAACCCATAAAAAAATATATAGAAAATCTATCTGCATGCTCTGTTTTCACAAAAAAAAAAAACAGAGGAAACCAGAGGGAGAGAAGAGAGAGACTCACATGCTTGGTCTTGTCCTGAATATCAATGACACCGGACTCATCCCAACTACTAACATATCTTCTCATGAAGGAATCGATCTTGGGCAAGAGATGGTCTCTGATCATGGCCGGGCTAATCAGAAACAGCAACGAGCCTCTCATGAGCCTGTGGTTCGAGCCATGGACCGCTGCGATGTTGCTCGACCCGAGGATGTCGACCATCGCCTTCGGGTAACCTGCGACAAACCCTTTTGATTCGTTCATCAGAATGTATCTGTTCAGCTCTGCGTCCATCGACACAATCGTCGGACAGCCCAGCACGTGCGACTTGAAGAAATTCCCGTATCTGCAAACAAAAAAGCACGTATGTTTTTTCAAAATATGATTCGAACCCATGATTCTTTTGGATGTAAGGAAGAGTTTGAACCGCTGGTCCATGAAATCGGGAAAAAAAAAGTTAGTTTTTTTTTTTTGGGGAATGTACCGGGCTCGTTTGGTTTTCATGAAGTCGGGACCTTGTTTGAGGAAGTCGGTGGTTTCGCCGAAGATGGGCCAACCCATGGTGCCTGGAGGGAGGCGTTTCTTGGTATAACGCATTTCGTTCCATCGCAGCAAAGCAGAGCAGATACACACCATTATCACCGCCACCCCGACCATCACCATTACCATCCCCATCTCCTTCTTCTTCTTCTCTCTTTGATCTGTTTCTGTGTTTTTTTCTTCTGTTATTGAGTGCCCAAATCCAGAGAGAGAAAGATGGTTATGGCTTATGGGCGTCTGCTTGGTACTAAAAGCTCTAATGGTTGTGCGTTTATATAGGCACCTAAAGCACCATGCTCAGAGAGAGAGAGAGAGAGAGAGAGAGAGAGAGAGAGAGAGAGAGAGAGGTTAGCAAATAGATAATTATTCATTGAAAAGAGATTATTTCTGTTTTTACAAAAAAGAAAATAAAAAACTAGTGATTTAACAAGCGCAGATTTGTTCAGTCAAAAACATAAATAGAAACATTATTACCACAGAGAAAACAGATATGGGGACTTGTTTGACCAACAACTGTATCTGCATGACTTTCCTGTCTTTATCTAAATAATAATGAAAAATGGTTAATTGAGATTTACTTTACCAAAAAAAATGAGATTTATTACCCCATATAACAGACTAACACAATTATTTCCAATTATTGACTCTGTGTAAAATTCCTATTGACTCTGTATAAAAATATTCACAATTATTTCTAAAATTAAAGGTTTAATAATTGCATTAAATTTGAAAAAAAAAACATTTACAAAATTATTATATATAAATGAAAAAATATATTATATAATAGAAAAAAGATAGAAAATAGAATCGTATAATATTTTATTTAATCAATATAAATATAAAAAATATAGAAATAATATCAAATCTAAATATTACATAATATTATAATATATTCTTCACATCTCTTGATATATCTCTTGATATTTTTGCAGATATTCTCCATATATCTTGATATTATATATAAAGATTTTATTTTCTATTATAAATCAAATGAATTTATTTGTGATCGTATATAATTTAGTAGTTATTTCAATTTAGATATTTTTTTTTTGAAAATACACATTTTAAAAAAATTAAAACCATCAAGACGTGGAATTTATTTTGCGATATATCTCACTACTTGTTTTATCACCGAATTTTTTTTAAAAAAAATAATATCACCGCTTTTATATATATATATATATATATATTATATATATATGATCACTTTTTGCACTTTTTACTGATGGCTCAAAAGCCGATATATTTAAAAATTATTAATAGATTAAAAAAAGAGGAAAATTAGTTTCAACTACTCATTCTTCAAGATCTTAGACACGAATGTTTGTTTGGTGGTTGAGTGAAGATTCTTTCAATCGGATAAATTTAAACTTTGTAACTTTATAGTTGAATCTCGATGGTTATGTTTTAATTAAATAATTTATTATTATTATTATTATTGTGCAATGTTTTTGTTTAGATTGTTTGAAAATGAATTAAATTTTAACATTTTTTTTTATAAATACTAATAGATATGAATAAGGGTAAGGATTGACGGAAGATTGATTGCGTTGACGGTATCACATGGGTACCACCCATCAGAGGAGACGGACCCCATTACACCCTAAAACAAATAGAAAGAAAAGTTAAATACGAAAAATAAATATCTATTTTTTCATGGAATTTTACATAAATTAAAATTCACTACAAGACACAATTCGTCTCTCTCTACCCATGTGAGTAAGCAATGAGAGAGAGAGAAATAATAAAAATATATTATTGAATTCCACAATGAAAGATTTGAAATTTTGATCTGTTAATAAAGTATTTAAATGATATGTAGATTGAAAAATGATTTGGAATATGATGAATTAAAGGAATTGATTGTAAGAACTTTTGTTTTGTTTTTCAGTCAAGACAAGTCCATAATGGTAATGTTGTGTTTGATATATTATAAAGGGTGATGTTATGGAAACTATATTCCTGACAAACATATGAATGAAATAATAGTTAATAATATAAAAAATATATGAAATAACCTAATCACGATGTGAATAAATATCTTGTAGCATTTAAAAAAAAGTATAAGTAATTTCTATTTGGTTCAAAATGTTCAAATTTTATGTTATAAAAATATATTAGAGTTGGGAATATTTGAAATGTATTATGCATTAAGAAAAAAAAAAGAGGTATAAATTATTATTATGATGATGATGACGATGATGATGTCATGACATGAAAACGATATCTTTTCTAAGAGCAAAGAAAGACCCTTGGTTTTTTACAACATTCCTATATTATAAAAGTTAATCGGACACCAAAGAGATTTAGGTAAACGAGCAAACATGGGCTTCAAAACCATGTATGTGAAGGCCCATCCATTATACAGTTTTGTGAGTAAATCCAATATATGTTCCTGCATGCTTTCTTCCTTCCATATCTCAATATCGTCTGTGTAAAAACCATTCACTTATATAATATACACATTTAAAATATGAGTGGTCCTGACACTTCACGATATATATATATATACACACAATATACACCTATGTGCACACACACGGTTTATGGGAAAGGACGACGAGTACATGAAATTTTCATTTTCTTATTTAATCTTATATTAAATCCTGAATTTGATGAATCCATACAAACACGGTTTCAAGCGTTGGAATTAAATAATTGCATTAAAATCTCAATCAAATTTGATAATCACGCGGTCTTATATATATATACACACAATATACACCTATGTGCACACACACGGTTTATGGGAAAGGACGACGAGTACATGAAATTTTCATTTTCTTATTTAATCTTATATTAAATCCTGAATTTGATGAATCCATACAAACACGGTTTCAAGCGTTGGAATTAAATAATTGCATTAAAATCTCAATCAAATTTGATAATCACGCGGTCTTTGCGGAGTCCACAAATTATCGATTTTATATATACGCAATTTTAAATGGCAAAACAAGCCAATAGATTACTTTCGATATTTATTTTAATAACCCAATGTCGACTGATCAATACTCGGAAAATGAAATACGAAAAGGGCACGGGACGTATATATCATCGGGCGGCTCCGCACTGTTTTCGTGTGAACATCAAATGCGTTCATGATATAGGATGGGTCTAATCAACGCGCTCTTATATGATTAGAATATGAAAATAAATATTTTTATTAATTAAAAACACAATTTCTTCCCATATATATATATATATATATTGATGGCTTTGTCTTGTGGTGCCGATAAAGTTGCATTAGACTGTGACTTGAAGCCGTGCGTGGATCCAAGTCGAGATCCTTGGAAAACGACTTGACACTCTCTCTCACCCGTACCAAATTGCACGTATATACGCATCTATTATATGATTTTATGATTAATTTGTATATACAATATGCTATATTATATAGATTCCATATTCTGTACATGCCCATGACAACCGCCTAACTATATAACTCGAATTTGATTCTTTATTCATACAAATCAAACTTCTTGATACAATCGCAGAAAGAAATTCTCACTATTTTCAGAATCACCATTGTAAATATTTCATTAATTATCATAAAATTATGATAATTCTTACAGTGAAATTACTGTCTAAAATACGACTAAAGAGCGCTAGAATATATATATATATATATATATATGTATATGAGTGTGTATGAATATGTAATGTGTCGGTTGATCGCAAAGTTTTCCGAATTATATTTGCGTGACGAAATTAAATGAGTGCATAAATGCCGACAAATTAGACAGAGCTCCACAGCACGTACATTACCATTTTAGCACAATCGATGTGGCAACATGAGTACCTTTTCTTCGTAATAACAATAACAATAATAACAATAATATATGTATATATATATATATATTAATATGTTTTTGTATAAAGCAGTGTACGTGTGCATAGATAGAGATAAGTGGAGGAATGTCACATTAAATAAATGCTATATCTTAACTGAACTAGAAAAACTAAATAAATTTGAAAATTATGCAACCTAAAGGTTGTGTATATATATATATATACATATGCGGTGTATATATATATATATGTGTGCGCGTGTTTGAAATGAAAAAGATGCGATGTATATCGTACATTGAAAACCTCCAGTTGCACGAGGGCCGCTTTTTTGTCCTCTTCTCTATCTCCATTATTTCATTTTAATTATTGGCATTTTCCCATAAATATAAATTTATAAAATGATTCAGTGATCAGAACTTTTTTTTTTCATAAAAAGAAACCCACCATAAATTAAATATTTTGTGTATATTCCCATGCTCATAATGCATCCAAAATCTGCTGCTGTTGATTGGTTGGTCCTTTTGTTTGTGTTCATGTTCATGCATGTGTGTTCAAAAAAAAAAAAAAATCGGCTACCGTGTTAATCTTATAATGACGTATAAATACTTGTATATTTTGTATAGGCATGTTTAGATAAATATATGTGCTAAATTGTTGATTAGATAAATCTTTATTGTATAATTTTGTGTATTAGTGAGTATCATAAATACAAGGAACACTATAATAGATTGAAATAAATAATAAGTAACTTATAAAAAAAATAACAGAACGAGGTAAAAGGCCATTTAAAATTAAATGGGTAGTCTTGAGACTCGCAATTTCGATTCCCAACAAACATATACTAAAAAATAAATATAGATAATTTTCAGAGTAATAAATATTCATGCAGTAAAATATAGTAATAAAAATTTTCATAACAGCTACAGATTAAAGTTTTTCGGTTTCAGAAACTATAATATTTTAGGTGCGAAATTAAATAAATGGATTTATTTTTTTTCTTCCATTTTAAATAATAATAATAATAGTGGGTCCCGCGGATAGAGATTAAAGAATGTCAGTTGGTTTGTCCGGAAGTACTTGTCGCTCTAATGAGCATGGAAAGGAAAAAACATTATATAAAATAAAAAATGGAATATTATAATATTATAAATTATGATATATGTGTATGTATAGGTATGATGATTGAGTGCACGTGTGGCTTCTTGTGTCCACGTACCCATGTCTTCACTCACTGAAGTTGACCTCTTTGTCTCCCCTCTATCTCTCTCCTATATTAATTTCTATGATTCATTGATTCTATCTACGTATTAATTTTTTTTTTCTATTTTTCGGAAACAAATTTATAATATAATTAGTAACGATCAAAATATCTCAAGAATTCGATTGTTATAAAAAAAATTCCATCGTTATTATCAGTTAAAAAGAAATCGTAATGATTTTAGACTC